TTTTACACTTTTGTGCTAGTTAATCTCAGATATTGTCACTCTGAAGAATCTTATACTAATATTATCCATTAAAAAATAAAAATAAGAAAAAGACTGATCCAAAAACATACGATTACCAAGAGAAAAGACCATTCCTACCCGTGGTGACATCCAAAAAGGAGAGAGGAATGACAGCCAACACACCTTCTTTTATTAACCTTGTGAGAATTGTAACTTATATTCATATTCTTCAATATTGTTCTAGATATAAAATTCTTCTGTATTTTATCATTATTTCTTGCTTTTAGGACGATACTTTTAAGGTTTGCGTTTAACAGAATTTATAGCAACATGTTTTGTGTTTACGTATTTTTCTCTTACACAGAATTGTAATCTTTCCATCCTGGGAGCAACAAAGCTGGAATTGTATAAATAGCTTGAATCGAACAAAGAATATGGGGGTAACAATTCTGAAAATTCCGGGAAAAAAAAAAAAAAAAAAAGCAACCCCACTACCGATCCTTCCACAGTTCATGCTACAGTATACAAATACACGCCGGAAAGCTACTGAATTCAGTGGTGGATATCTGCAAGATTTAGCAGTTAGCTAAACTGGTTTGGTTTGGTTTACTCTGAGAGTAATTTTTGAGAATTGATGATAGTTCTTGTGTGCTGAGGAGGAATCGAGTAATATCTGCATTCTCCTCAAACTATTTATCGTGGCGTGTGTTGTGAATCTTTATGATAAATTGTTCATTTCTGCCTTCTATTATCAGAAGTTTTTATTTAAAAAACATTAACAAACTTGTAGCTGGCAATAATATGTACATATTTTCATGTTTTAGTATTTGTTAAGCATAAAACTGTTTAAAATTCAAAATAATAAAAATCAAAGATTTAATTATTTTTTTCTGAAAAGCTATACTGTCAGCATAGCCTTGCAAAAGCTACAGATCATAAACCCAAGATAGACAGCATGTAGCTTTATATGTAAACTTAAACTCTTTATTAGATAAATTTCTATTAAATAATAGCAGCCAGAATTATTTCTATATAAAAAGAGTGAAATAAATTAAATCTTGTTAGTTTGTATTTTAGTAAAATTTTATTAATAGAATTCGGAATCTTTTCCCACATATTTATTTACACTGGTCATCAAAATTAAAGGATAATGAGAAAAAATAGGCTCACTACGTTAATGTTGCAACTAATACCCAATGCTGTAGTTATTTATGTTGATGAAATATAATTGAACACAAAATTGTCTGTAGTGTCAGCTGGAAGTCCTGTCTGTAGTGTTGTTTAAATTGAATGTGGTTTTGAAGAGTATTCAGCATTCAGTAGTTATGGCTCAACGGCATCATTTAAATGAAGTTCAAAAGTGGCGAATAATTGGTAGAATCGAGGGAGTCAAACACAAATGGAGGTTGTCCAAGATTTGAATATCACTCAAAGTGTCATATCAAGAGTTTGGAGCCGCTTAAACACTGGATCAGTTGATAGACAGCCTGATCAAGGAGGACCAAGAGCAACAACTGCATCAGAAAGGTGTCTTCTGTCATTATTGGGCCAAGGAAACTGAGAAGCGACTACAAAAGATTTGGCTTTAGACATCCAGAACAAGAACTTGAATTAGCTGTTCTACTGCTGCCCAAAGGCTTAACGAGGTTAGACTGTTTGAGAGGAAACCAATATTTTGTGCACCACTCACTCCAGCTTCTAAAGTGGCCCATTTAAACTGGTTCCATTGTCATGTTCAATGGAGCCAAGACAAGTGGGACAGAGTATTGTTTACTTACGAGTCCAGATATAGTCTGAACAATGATTCTAGATATGTTTTGATCTGGAGAGAGGAAGGAACATGCAACTTGTCTTCTCTTGTATGTGACATATCCAGGATGTATGTGACATATCCAGGATATTTGGGAAGGAATTATGACAAATGGGCGTACTGAGCTATGCAACTTTCAAGGAAGTTCTGTAACTACTCAGAGAGATATGTGAAGTAATGGAACCCCAAGTTAAGACTGTTTAGGAGTGCTGTTGCCTTAAGAGTTTTTGCAAACGGATGGCAATGGAATAGAAGATACCACTCAAATGGACTGGCCACCTTACTCACCCAACTGAGCATGCATGGGATGCCTTAGGGCACCAAATTTCAGAATGCCAAATTCCTCCCTGGATCCTCCAGGAGCTGAAAAGTGCACTTTAGATGAGTGGCGTGCAATTCTACTATACTTGATCAACATTTTGGTAAAGTCTATGAAATCATGATGTGAGGTATGCATATCTGCCCTAGGTGACTATAACTTCCAGATATTGGTAGCTAACTGTATAAATAGCCAAAGGTCATACTGCAAGTTTGTTAAGGCATTCTTAGAAGAATTTTTGTGCGCAGTTTGGATGTAGAAGAATGCACCACATTTTTGCGCTCCACAGAAAATACAATCTTATTTCTCTGTTAATAAATGGAGCTCTTAGGTAATGATGGAAAGAGAGCAAGGAAGTTGTTACTGAACACACTACAGAACTTTTCAATTCCCACTATGAAGAACTTGCACTTGGATGACGGGAAGAAACTTAATCTAAACTCTCCAAAATAAACAAATAAAATTAAAAAAATTACAAGGGGGTAGAGACAATTTCAAAATTAAAAGAGTTAAATCTCATTATAGTTCGCATAAATATCCTTAAGATACTGGCAGCCCCACTTGGTACATTGATCAGTGAAAAATGAGCATGAACTGAAATCACAGACATAGCTGCCAACCTTGAAATATAAAAAACTGGGAGGTTCACCCACACAATAAGGGAGTTTCTGAGAGGTTTTCACACGCAGTGGCACCATTTTAAAGGAACTCACAATTGATTTAAATTTTTTTTACAAAACATGATTCAGTTCATTCAATTATTTATAACAAAATTAAATATAAATATTTAATAATTAAACATTTAGTTAAATATTTAGATTAAATTTAACTTTTTTTTTTAAACCTTCATTGGCCACTATTACGATCAGAAGTGGTGGCCACTTTATTATGAAAGCACCTAATTAAATACAAATATTTAATAATAAAACATTTGGTTAATAAATAACAATCTGTAACAAAATTAAATACAAATATTTAATAATTAAACATTTGGTTGAATATTCAGATTATATTTTACAATTTTTTTGTTCCCCCCCCCCATTGGCCACAACTAAGATTGGAAGTGGTGGCCACTTTATTACGAAAGCACCTAGTAATGGGCCACTGTTACCTCCAATGAATGGAAAATTACAGGCATGCCCTCTTTGGGATTCCAACTCGAGCCTTTGGTATAACAGTAGGTTCCCCCAATCACATGAGAGGCAGGCAATTTTACAAATGTCAACGATATAACTCAGATGAAATAAAATTTAGTACGGAAAAATATGTTGAATATCACTAAAGATGGGTGAAGGAAATTTGCACAATTTAAGCATCATTATTTAATAATGAACAGATTTTGTTTTATTGTTGAAATATCATTTTTGAAGAAAAAAAAATTAAAAAAATGGAAGAATTGGCATCCATAACTTAGCAGCTATGGATGCGGTTTGCAGCATTTAGTACAGCATGGAGAAAACACATTTTATTCACCATGTGCTGACGAAAGAAGAAGTATTATATCCCACTCAGAAAGTAAAATTATGAATTTTTCAGCTAATACAAAAGATGATCCTCACATTATTAAAACTCCTAAATTCTCTTGACTAGGAACTCCTGATGACCTCCTAAATCGAGGAATATAATTTTAAATTTAATGAAAAGTGAGTAATGAGCTCGGAAGAAATAAAAATATGTTCGTCCCCCCTTTTTTTGAAACCTTTATTAATCCAGGCTTCAGAGTAGGATTCATATGTAATGATCATATACAAACAGGAAATTATTGAATTTTATTTAATGAATACAATGGAATGTCTTACACGTTGCTTTATGTAATTATCTGCCATTAGAATAAAACTGTTCCAGCAGCATGAAAGCTTCTTAATTCTAAAAGAATAAAAGTCTTTTGACTATATGTTGTTTAATTTTTTTCAGTGTCAATAAGCTCATTAGACTCGAATACTAAATAAGCATGCAATGGGGGAAAAAAAAAAAAAAAAAAAAAAAAAAAAAAAAAAAACTTTCATTCTGCAATGCACTCATGTTTATCCCAAGTCCAAAAACTTATTTCCATCAATTTTTATGATGCTGCAGAAGTTCTGTGACTGCAACTAATCTTCTTTGTGTTCAGGCATGAAAAGATGCAAACCCATCTCATGTTCAACTTAAAATAATCTGTAACTAATGTTTTCGCATTGCTAATACTTATTTTAAGGTCTTAGCAATTTCTTTGACAGTTAACCTCCAACTGACCCAAATTAATGCATCAGTGGCAGTCAGCTTGTATTCATCAATTGTGGTTCTTAGACAACAAGCATGGTGTTCATTTTCAACTTTAAGACTCGATGCTCACTTCTATACCATTTTCAATCTGAAAAAAATCTGAGATCATTGTTAGGTCAAAATCTAATAATGATTCACTTGCAACACCGTTCCAACATGTTGATTATAATTAACAAAAGTTATGGAGAGAAAAACTAGCAATACGATTCCTAATTTCAAACATGTATGCATTTGCTAATTAAGTCAAGATTACACTGCACAATTATGAAAACACAGCTAAAAAATTACTGTTCATATCTGGAAGTCCCTTATATTCCACTCTTTTAAAAATTCTTATGGTAATAAGTTTATCAGCATTTATAAACTCTGAATTATAAACAACAGTAATGCTTTATTTTTGGTAAAAACTAACTACTAAGTACAACCCTTTCTCCATCACATATATGAAGAAAAACTACCTTATGTCTTTTAGCTAGATTTTACTATCATTATCAGTCTGACATAAACAAAGTTTTATGCAGTGAATCCTTTGGTAGTTTTGCTTAGAAATTGGGAGGTAATTTAATAAGGCAAAGCAATGAACTTATTTAGGGAAAAATAAGAACTTCATATTTTTAAATCTTTAATATTTCAATTTCACATATTTTATATGTCATGCATACACTTATTTCCATATAGATCCTGAAATGTGATGGTTGCAAAGCTAATATTAGTCAAAATACAGAGCCTCATATAATCAATTGTAGATATAACAATAAACCCGTGGAAGGGGGGGGAACCTCTCTTGACTCGCAAACCCCAAAAAAGATAACTTCCAAAAAAGCTGTAAAACAATAAAGAACATTCAATAAACCACAAAAATAACAACTTTTATTAAAAAGCAATCTTTACTTCCGCTAACCTTGGCCATGCAACAAAAACAAGTAAATCATATAGAAGTAAGTATATCGCAAGATCAGTCTATAACAATAAAACACTTCAGTATAAATGGTGGTATTTGTACTGAACACAATAAAATCCTAGACCGTTACTGCTTAGAAAACAATTATGCAGAATTCATTTTAACTCATTTTATGATCTTTCAAAAAAGCAAAAGATATTCAATCAACGTAATATTTTTAACAAATAAATCAAATACAACAAATATGGCTTATCACAGATACAATCTGTGATGACCGAAATATAAGACTTGTTTTGTTAGCCAAAAAGTGGCTTTAAATCAAGAAACAGGTAATGGCACGGGATATCCAAGGTTTAAGCTTAAGTTTTCTGAAGAAAGTAAGTTTCACACATCCATTGTAAACAGAGCATCCTCATGGTTTTCTGAAAATATAAATAAGCAAATATTCAGTGTTCAGCTGGTGGGGGGAAAAGGACTTAACAGAACAAATGAATATCACAATATAAAATTAATGAAACAGTTTTCACTTTAATGTAATAATAAAAGATATTTAATATAATGAAATGTAAAAATAATACACTTAACACAACACATGGTCATATAATAAATATAGAATTGAAATCAACCCACATTAAAAAAAAATTTTAAGGCTACTAAATACAATCCAACATATGGAATCTTAACCTTTAAGATTACATGTAATATCTCTAGAAATGAACAAGATCCTAAAACTCAGTTAAAACTGAATTCTTGCAGGTAACTCAAACCAAAGCAATTAAAAGATAGCTTGACATAAAAGCTAGTTATCCTCACACCAAAAACTGGCACTTACGTGGAACTTTATGTAATATAACATAAAGTCACATAAATGTTTACAAAACTGTTCAAAATACTAACAATATATAATCTTTTCACAATAGCATGCTCAAATCAATACATAAAACAAAATTTGCCAATTAATGTTATTTAACTTTATTTAGGATTTATATATTAAATATTCTGTACAAATTTAACATAATTAAGGCTTCTGGGACACTTTCTTAATATGCAAGGTCAGAAAATCATTATAAATGTATTTTCTAAGGATGAAACTTAATTAGAAAAAGAGTTCAAAAAAGCTACCTTGTTTATCTGCAGCAGTGCCTTCAGCAATAGTACCATTCTCCTTTGGTTTATTCTGATTGAGACTAGTAATTCCTGGTATGTTAGGTAGATTCTTTGGAGGGGTTCGAGCAATAGGGGAATTGCGCATTTGCATTAAAAAAGCTCTATCGTATATAATTCGAGTTCCTGTAAAATAAAAACGCAATTAAAATGAATTTGAATTTACTAGCTCTCATAAGAAGAAATTTGTAAATATCTTTATAAAAGTATAAATAATTAAAAATTCATCATTATTAATATTCATGATTAAAAAATCAGCATTATTCTCTCAACAAGTGAGGCTTTAATTATAACAATTTTAATTACAAGTTTATCAGAATATAGGCTATTACTGGACTAAAGCAACAAACATTAAAGGGTGACAAATCACACCAGAACAAACATTTTACACCATAGAATGCACAGAAGCAAATGCAGCAGCTATAAGCTCGAGCAGGCCTTGGCAATTTATGACTTTCAGTCACTGAGAGTCCATTTCATAATTTTGATTGACCCACTTCAGTTCCGAAAATAAAGTCCAATATATAAAAATAAATTATAAAACATAAGTATGAATAGAATGCTTGAAGGATTCATACAAAAAATTAAACTGAAATAATGACTTCTTATTTGATTATAAAGCTGCAGTAAAGAATATGCATTTTTATTTAAAAAAATAAAAAACTTTAATATAATTTCAAGAAGAAATCCATAATATTGGCAATGCCGATTTGTAAACCTGAATTCCAAAAAACTGGCCTTGCCATTTTGTCTGCATTATAAAGTCAAGCAAATATTTTTACACATGAAATTTTTTTAAATTAAAAACGAGCAGCCTAATTTATGAAAATTTAAATGCTAGTATTTGCCTTAAGACAAATACTAAATACAAATAAAAAAATGGGCAAAAGCCCAAATTTGGAATTTTTTTTATCAACTATTTCATATTTTGTAAAACTTTCAGGAATTTTTTTATTAACAAACTCAATGATTTGAAAGCGAGCTGTGGCAAAACTTCACGAGGAGGGGGGGGGGAACTTCTTTATCTCCGGCGCGCCAGACTCTGTATCGGAAATTCTAAAGATATGCTCATTTTAAAATTATTTTGCGATACTGCAATTGAACTTAATTTTATGGTTTGAGAACATGATGTTTAATAAATAAAGGTAACACACAAAACGTTAAAAAAACGCCCCTTTAGAAGTAATTTAAAATCTGAAAAACTTTTCAAATTTTTTTATTACTTTTTTTGGGGGGCAGTAATTTTTTTTTAATTAAAATTTTTTGAAGAAAGGTTTAACAATTAAAATGTCATTTTTCTCCCACAGTTTTCAATGTTTTTTCCAAATTTTCTTATTGTATTTATTAGAGAGTTCTTAATAACTTTAATGATCGATTTTGCAAATAATGAATTAGTTTCTAAGAAAAATAAAAACATATTTTTATGTAAAAACTTTGAAACAAATATCTCATTCCCATTTTCATTTCAAATAAATTTCTTTTCAGTATTTTGCAAAACCTATCCTTGTTTCTATAAAGTATATAATTTTAAATAAGCGGTAAAAATATTAAATAATTTAGGCCATATCTATATAATTTTTAGGATATTAAATAAAAGGATTTATCGAAAAAATGCAAACTGAGAAAAAGCACTTTAAAAAATATAAACGGCCTAAATCGTCATTCAATCATTTCAAATTCTTAAAAATGTTATTACTGAATTTCAATATATATATATATATATATTTGTTTACAGCACCATTCTCTTTATAAAAGTTCCATCTTCCTTAAGATTTAAAGGACCAGCCCGTACGTTGTTGTAATTTTTGATTAATAGCAGACCGCTATTTATTTTATTTTATTTTTACATTGCTCGGAGTTGCAATTGCTTTTAACACCCTAATGTGTATTTCAGCGGACGCATCGGGAAAAAGGAACAGAGCAGTGAAGCTCCAAAAAAGGATTTATTTTAAAAAAGATATATTCGGGAATACTAATGTTCTTTTATAAAAATTTTTTCGCATTAAAAAAGAGCTTCAATGGTCTGTTTCGGCGAAACGCGTAATGGTATTTAACCTAGTTCGACAATCAGTTTTTTTCCCATGAAAAGCCAATTGAGAGTACGAGTGGGTTAATTTACCATTTTCCGCTATATTAATTATAGTATTTAGTATTTTGTATTGTTGCATTTTGTGTCTTCTTTTTAATTTAAAAAATTTGTTGTTTTTTACTTTTTATGTATTGGCATTTTTACAATCTATGTCTTTTATATGTACTTTCCTTGTATATTTTTCCGTCGATCTATTTTTCATGTGAGTTAACTTTTCACATATCACAACGGTCAGATTAATATTTTCGTGCATTAGCAAGTCTTCCAGCACTAATTTTGGCAGTTTTTTCCAGACAAATTTCTTCTTAGTTTTTATTGTTGTAATACTGCGTTAAAACATTTCGTGGAGCTACAGCTCCTGGTAACTTTTTAGCAAGATCGCTGCAATGTTTCTATCTACTGCTATTATTATTATATATATATATATATAATATAAAACCTAGTGGTATTCAATTGGTTAATATAAACATAAATTATAAGCTTTTATTTAAAATCTTCGTAAAACAGGTTTAAAACAATTTTAATGCATGAATTAATTATAACATTTTTTCTAAAACGACAAATTCAAAAACAATATTAAAATGTTTATAATTAATGTAAATAATATTAATTTGACGTTTTATTCATTTTTTTCCCAAAAAGCAGAGTTTGAAATTTTAACAGCCAGAAAACATTTTATTTAAAGCCATTCAGCAATATATGTGATTTCTTTTCTTCTTTTAACCATTTGGTCTCGTATATAAATTGCATTTTAAATTAATTTAAGTGTATTTTAGTTAACTAAAAAGTTAAACTCCGATAGCAATAGTAAACAATGCCAAAAAAGATGTGAGCAAACGTTAGAAATCTGCCAATCCGATCCACGTTTCTGATATCATTCATTGCTCGCAGTGGCTTACGAATTGAGGGATGGAAGACGATGTGCATCTGAACCAGTCCTGAAGGCGAAACTGCTTCATATCCCTGTTTCTCCCTAATAGAAACGGTGGCTGCGTGAAAAAGCATTGCATGTGAACGGGGCTTAAGAGGCAGAAAAATGGAAGTTAGCCATGGGAAAAAAAAAACAAAAAAGAGTTGGGAATTTTAAAAGGGAATGAAACTTTGGCCATAGTGCCCAGGCCAAAAGAAAGGAAGGTTGTTAAATGCAAGTGCGTCTTCAGGAGAATACTTTATAAAGATGGACAGGTGGAAAGACATAAAGCTCTTTTTAGTTGTTCGTGGCTGCATCCAAGTTGAAGGAATTGACGCAGGAGAAGTTTTCTCCTGTAACATGAGTTAGAACTATATTAGCATTCTCAGTTGAGCAGCATTGACAGTTTCATCAGGTGGATATTACTGCAGCCTATTCAAATGGAAAATTAAGTTAGCAATTTTCATGGAACAGCCACCAGTGAATCTGCATGACAAGTCTTTATGGTCTTCATCAGTCTGGGAGAGAGTGGAATATCTGCCTGGATAAATTTTTTAAGTCAGCTAACCTAACAAGATTCAGAGCAGACCCTTGCGTTTACTTCAATAAGGAAAAAGAGTTAATTGTAAGTGTGTACATGATGACTCCTCGTAATGACCAGCAAAGTTTCCATTATTCAGGAATTTACGGACAATATTGCTGCCACATTTAAAATCAAGGACTTAAATAGAAATACATCACCTTCTTTCCATGAGGATAAGCAGAACAGAAGAACTCATGATCAGAAACAATCGATATGCTAAAGGAGCATCAACACCATTAGATCCAGGTATGAAATATACACAAGCCATTAAGGATCATATGTTGGATGCTGAAGGAGCATATAGGCAGGCTGTTGGAGGACTATTGTACCTGGCAGGAGGAACAAGGCCTGATTTAACCTTTGCTAACATTTACATGAGCCAGTTCAATAACTGTCCAAGCAAGGATTGGGCTGCAATACAACCTATTCTTCGTTACGTAAAACATATCAAAGAATTAAAACTGACTTTACAAGACTGAAAAAGATTTGGAAGTGTTCTTTGATTCCGATTGGGCTGGTGATAAGATTGATAGACGATCATTCAGTGCCTATGTTGTATTGCTAGCAGCTGGAGCTGTCTTGTGGAGCAGTAAGGAGCAACAAATGCATGCCTTGTCAACAATTGAAGCTAAGTGCTTCTCAATGTGCTACGCAGCCAAGGAAGTGCTGTTGTTCCAAAACGTTTTGCAAGAAATTGTGGAAGAACATTTTTTTTAACTTCCCTCAAAACATATTTGTTGATAATCAGGGTGCCATTTCTTTAGCTAAAACCCATGTTACTTCAGAGCATAATAAACATATTGAACTCACACATTTTTTTCTTAAGAGAGAAGACCGAATAGAAGTTGTTGAACCTTACCTATGTTCCTTCCAGTTCAAATGCAGCAGAATCGTAGACTAAGAATGTGAAAAAGAAACCCTTGTATAGCCAAAAGTTCAATGTAGGACTGAGGGAAATTTCATCCCGGGGGAGTATTACAAATGACTTTCATATCTGTGATTACATTTCCCATTATATTTTTGCAATCTGTGTGGCAACACGCTTTTCATTTCTTTTCTTTCTGGCAATGTTTTCAGATACTGTCCCTGTATTTCCTTTTACCATGTTCCTTTTGGGTGCTTAATAATATATGTTAATACAGATGATGTTTTACTTGTCTCCATTCATAACGTTAGACCTTTAACATGAATGACTAACATTTTGATGAACTCGTTTGTCAGATAGCAAAGCTCGAGTTCCTACTTATTTAAGTTCTTTTAAATGCTATATCCATAGTTTATATTCGCTGATTAACTAATTTAACTAATTAAATAAATTACAACCCATTATTATCTAACTAAAGAATAATCTGTTCCTTCAAACTTCAAGTGGAACAAATGGCGTTAAGTTAGATGGGATTTCCATCAACTTTCACAGTCGACAAAAAAGTATGAAGTACCCTAACTATTCAATGAACTACTAATAATTTTCAAGTGGCCACTAACAGATTTTGATAGGATATCAGAGAATATGAGGGTTATCTGTTTCATGGAAGAATACCTTC